TCTACTCCCAAGATGTCATGAATCGGCTCCTGTACAAGAGTGAAGTGGCTCAACCCACCAAGATCCTTCACTTGTATCATCACCATCAGCATTACGATGTCATTACCTCTATGCCAGCTTTTACAGGTTATCCCTACTACTGTGAAACTTGTGACCAAGGATACGCCAACACTCAAGATCATCGTTGCACCCGAGAATTTCAATGCCACTGGTGCCAATGTCCTGGATACTGTGGCGACGTGGTCAGTGAAGGACTCTCCTGTCTCCAATGTGGCGGGTGGTTCCGAAACCCTACCTGCTTTCAACGCCATCGGACAGCCTCCGCCAAGCAACCGAGCACCTGCTCCACCATCCACACGTGTCATCGATGTCTGGCCAAAGTCAACGTGAAAAAAATTCAGGGCATGACCAACCGCCAGTGTGGCACGAATCGTGACTGCAAGATCTGCAAAGAACCCTTGAAACCCAACCACCAGTGTTACATGTCTGTCATCAAACCACCCACACAAGATGAAGACGGTGAAAACAAGGACGAAGACAAAGAACGACAACAGCATCAGTTCATCTTCTACGACTTTGAATGTACCCAAGATCAAGGGACTCATGTTCCCAACTTGTGCGTGGTGCATCTGGGATGTGGAAAATGTATTTCCGAGGCTTCGGATCAGCTGTGTGAAAAGTGTCCCTGGCGTAAGGAAGGAGAAGGGCCTAGCCGCATCAAAGTGTTTCAGGGATCTACGACCTTGAAGGACATGGGCGACTGGCTGATGGCCCTGGCAGAAAAGAAACAGAAGAAGAAGAAACGTAAGGCATCCCACCAGCAGTCGTCGGGCCGTGCCTCGAAACAACCCAAACTGTCATCACCAGAACCCGATGATGATGTAGAACAACAAGATGAGGAAGAGCAAGACGATGAAGATGACATTTCCCCTACCATTGATGATGACGACGTTTTGGTCATTGCTCACAACTACCGTGGGTATGATGGACACTTGCTCCAACAGTACTTCCATCAACATCTCGTGAAAGCACCCCAGGTCACACTTCGAGGGAATCACATCTTGCAGATGACCGTGGGACGCCTTGTTTTCAAGGATTCACTCAATTTCCTCACGATGGCTCTGGAAGCAGTTTCCAAAAACGTTTGCATTGACGGAACTCAAGAAAGGCTACTTCCCTCACTTCTTCAACACCGAAGCTCACCAAGGCTATGTGGGTCCTTATCCTCCCGTGTCTACCTACGATCCTGACAGCATGTTTCCTGCAGAACGTAAAGCTTTCTTGGCCTGGTACGATGCACGGGTGGCTGAAGAGGCTGTCTTTGATCTGATGAAGAATTGTTGACCTACTGTCAGAGTGATGTGGACATTTTGCGTCGAGGCTGTGCTGCATTCCGCAACATATTCATCCAACAGAACAACGTGGACCCTTTCTATGAAGCAGTGACTCTACCCATGGCTTGCATGCTCACCTTCCGAAAACAGTTTTGGAACCCGCACCATTGCCATCATACCTACTCAAGGTTATCGCCCCCAGCGTCGCTACTCTCTTCAGTGTCTCCACTGGCTCAACTGGGTCATGCATCAACACCCTGGTGTCCACATCCAACATGCTCGGAATGGTGGAGAAGTAGGCTTTGACTGTGCTGACGGTAGTCGCTACATGGTGGATGGCTACGACGCCAAGACACGCACCGTGTATGAATACTTGGGCTGTTTCTGGCATGGATGTACTCGCTGTTACAAGACGGGCCGATGTGAACACCATGCTAGCTTGGGTACAACCCCTTGGGAACGATACCATCATACCATGTACCGACTGGGTGTGTTACGTCAACATCCCGACATCGACCAAGTGGTGACCCTCTGGGAATGTGATTTTCTGAAACAACAGAAAGACAATGGTGACCTGAGAGCCTTCCTGACCACACTGCAAGGACCCCATGCCTACATGCCTGACCCGTTGATCCCAGATGCTGCTTTGGAGGACGTACCAACGCCACCAAACTGTACTATGAAGCCAAAGAAGATGAAGAAATTAAATATGTGGATGTTTGCTCGCTGTACCCTTACATCTGCAAGTATGGCACTTTTCCCGTGGGACATCCCGAGATCAAAGATCATCCTCCCGTGTCTGACTTGTTTGAGCTCCACGGCCTGATCCAGTGCCGTGTCTTACCACCCACCGACCTCTATCATCCTGTTCTTCCTTACCGTGTCCAGGGTAAGTTGTTATTTCCTCTGTGCCGTACTTGTGCTGAAGAGCAGTTGGATGCTCCCTGCCCCCACGGGGATGAAGACCGGGCATGGATCGGTACCTACGTCAGCAAGGAGCTTCAGTATGCTGTTGAAAAGTGTGGCTATCAAGTGCTTCACATCTTTGAGGCTTGGCACTTTGACACGCTCGCCACCTACGACCCTGACACTCAAGAGGGAGGGCTGTTTGCCAAGTATGTGAACAATTTCTTCAAGATCAAGCAAGAGGCCAGTGGATACCCAGAAGGCTGTCCAGACCCAGACGCCTACATCAACGAGATACAACAAAAAGAAGGAGTCACCTTGGATCCTGCTCACATTCGCAAAAACCCAGGACTACGTGCCTTAGCAAAAGCCTGCCTGAACAATCACTGGGGCAAGTTTGGTCAACGCGTTGGGTTTGCCAAGACGGAATACATCAGTTCCCCTGAGAGGTACTTTGCCCTCCTCCGGGATGAGCGCTGTGTGGTGAAAGACATTAACATCATCAATGAAGACCTCATCTGTGTCACTCACGAACCTCAGACAGAATTTCACGACCTCATCCAGCCCACAATGTGGCCATTGCAGCCTGGGTGACAGCACAAGCCCGTCTCAAGTTGTATTCTTATTTGCAACCCTTGGATCGACGTGTCCTCTATTTTGATACGGACAGTATCATCTACATTCACCGTCCACTAAGCTACAACCATCCACTGGGAGATACCTTGGGGGAGCTGACTGATGAACTGGGAGGGGGCAACAGCATTCAAACCTTTGTCTCGGCAGGACCCAAGAATTATGGCTACAAGCTGCGTCATCCTCAATCTGACGGCAGTGTGGGCATCAGCAAGGTCCGAGGATTTACTTTAAATCACAGGGCGAGCCAACATGTCAACTTTGACAGCATGAAGAACCTCGTCTGTCAGAGGGATCAAGCCAACATCACTGTCCCGTACCCGCACCGCATCATTCGCGGAGGACTTCGCCAGGGCAACGTGTTGCTGTCCAAGGACACTACCAAAAGCTATCGTTTGGTCTACACCAAACGACGAGTGCAGTACGACCCACAAGGCGTCCCCAGGGAAACTCTCCCCTATGGCTATAAAGAGTGAACAAATCCCTCATGGACTTTTGTTGCAGACATGCTCTGTTCATGATCTATTGATGTTTAACCCATAAAATGTGATTGCCTTGTTCATCTGTTGCTCTATCATTCAATAAAATGTTATTGTATTGCACTCTTGTGTTGTGTCGTCTCTCTTCAGGGCCAGACCTGGTGGAGTCCATGGTCACCCTCATCCATTTTTACCCTGTTAGACTCAGACCTGGTGGATGCCATGGTCACGTTTACCATGTATAGGTACTGTAACAAAAGGGAAGAGAAGGGAGAGCAGAGTGGCGCAGTGGAAGCGTGCTGGGCTCATAACCCAGAGGCCCATGGATCGAAACCACGCTCTGCTCTGTATTTATTTTTTCTTTCTATGTTGCGAATACAACCCCTTGAAGTGGGGTTGACGTCACACACCCTATCAAGCAGGTCCCTGTGTATATATAAAGAGACGTTTCGTCAGGGTGTCGTTACAAAGAGAAGGATGGAACCAAAGTCCTCGTGCTCGCTACCATCCCGTGGTCGTGGGATGAAGGCAGAGATTATCAGAGATTAAAAACCTCGGACCTCCTTTGACCGTGTCAGAGAATTGTTAGATATGCTTCCCCGACGTGGACCCCAAGCTTACTCCCTCTTCTGCAAAGCTTTGGAGGAATGCGGAGAGACAGAAGCCATGACATTGCTGGGTCTCAAGACTCCAACTGACAAGGCACAGTCACAAGTGACAGTCCACTGGCTATTCTTCTATGGAATCAAGTCACCGTTCAGCAACTTTCATCCAGCTGTGTTTACCTTGGATGGCGTTACATTTAATTGTGTTGAACAGTGTTACATGTACTCTAAAGCAATGTACTTTGGAGATTTGGACAGTGCAACGCTAGATTCTGCAAGAGGCTGTTCCAGCAAAGCAAAAACGTCTGGGGCGATGTGTGAAAGGCTTCACTCAAAAAGTGTGGGACACTGTCAGTCTTGATGTGATGACCAAGGCGATAACGGCTAAACTTTCCCAGAACAATGACTTGAAACAGAGATTGATTCAATCCTACCCTAAGCCGTTAGCTGAAGCTAGCCCCTTTGATCAAAGATGGGGAATAGGAATGGGTGCATCTAATCCTGATATTGACAAGCCCTGGAAATGGTCGGGGAAAAACAAGTTGGGAAAAGCGCTCATGTATGTTCGTGACACGTTGTTGTTGTGAGTGACGTCATCCATGGACAAACTCCAATGACGTCATCCATGCACGAGCCACGTGACGTCACCCTGTGTATCTATATAAAAAGACTCTGGCCCAATCGTTATTCGTCGCCATGCTGTTCACGCTGCTCTTTGTGCTCGCCACCTATCTAGAAGAGAGACACTTTTTAGAACAGTTCAGAAAAGCAGTGCAAGACGCTGTTCAGAAACAACACGATCGTGACGTCATTTGAAGTGACGTCATAGCTCGCGCTGCTGGTGCTGCCTGTAAAAACGCAGGATCGATCGAGCGGGTCATCAGTTGCATCAGTTCAGTCGTTGAAGATGGCATCTCCAGGCAACCTCCCTTCTTCCTTCATCAACTTGGCTTCGCAGGCAAAGGACCTAGCTTCTGACATGGCCCATCTCCACAACAACATGATGGCTTATACAAAACCAACTACATGGATCTCCAGGACCGGCTGCGTGTGATGGAACAAAAGTTGCAGTCGATCATCCGCAAGCTGGCAGGTATTCATCCGAAAAGAGAAACACTGTATGGAATGATGGGTCGCTTCTGTGAGTTGACTGAGGAAGACTATTACTGGATGGCGTATCACCAAGACCACTTAGAGATCCTGTCCGACAGCCAACAACAACTCTGTTCGCTTGATACTCATAGGTATCAATGATGCGTATGCCAAGGAAAATGCAGGGGAGACCTTCCTCAGCAAGCTGTTCCACATCGTGTTCAAGTTGAGAAATGGACGTCCAATGGCCTATGACCATGGTGTGCTGTACAGCAAGCTGCTGGACAAACTCCAGGTGAAACTCTGGCCTCACCCACCCAGCTATGATCTTTGATATGCCACCTGCACTCTACCTTTGTTCTCCAACGATCCAGAGGTCACCGACATGACGCCCAAGCCCGTCCCTCAAAAAAGAATACCTCCTAAGACCACTCCTGCCTAGACTTCTCCAAAGAAGAAGAAAAAGAAGAAGGAGGAGGAGGAGACCCCCACCAAGCCCCCCGCCCCGCCCCTTCCCAAGGCACCCACCAAGAAGACGTCACCTCCCAAGGTGACCCTGGCCCTGGCTTCTCCAAAGAAACAGAAGAAGAAGAAGCCAAACAAGGAGGCCCCCACCAAGACACCCACCAAGAAGGCACCCCCAAAGCCTAAGAGTCTCAAAGCACCCCAGACTCCCAAGAAACAGTTGGAGATTGCTGACTTGTGGGAGAACTATCCACAAACCAGTCATGCTGGGGTTGAAGAGAACGAGAAGGGTCAAGGGATCAGTCCTGCTAGCCCCAAAGAGATCCCCCAGGCAGAGTTACCTCCAGATCTTCAAGACTTGTATGATCTACTCCCGATGGCTGTCACCATGGAAGCAGAGCAGACAGCTCCAGAGAGGGCTCCAGAGACGACTCCAGAGACGACTCCAGTGATGGCTCCAGAGACGGATCTGGTGATGACTTCAGTGACGACTCCAGAGGAGCCAGAGGACATCATCGACATCCCCATGTTTAACGATGAAAATCATTTTCATCCAGGTCAAATGGACTTTTTACAGTGTTCTACCTGCAATCCCGATGATCACCTGAACTGGTGGTGATCTGTTGATGTACTGTTGTTGATCTGTTGATGCATCATTATTGTTGATCTGTTTGCCATGTTTTGTTCCTCAATAAAATGTGAATTCCATTTCAAAGGGTTGTGTCTTCTATATCTTCAGGGATCGTAGCTCTTGGAGGTCATTTCCGGTGCAACCCGCAGGGTGGTAAGACGTGTGTCAGTATGTCAGGGACACTGTTAGACTCAGACCTGGTGGATGCCATGGTCACCCCACTCACGTTACGTCATCCCTTTACCATGTTGATTGCAGGCCCTACAGGGTCGGGTAAAACATCGTTTGTCAAAGCCTTCATGGAACATGTGTTTCAACCGGGGATCCTTGATCTTCCACCTCAGGGCATCGTGTGGGTGTACAGTGAATGGCAACCCATGCATGAGGACTTGGAAGTTCTTACTTTGAGGTTAGGGATACCCCTGACGTTTGTGCAAACCATGGGAGAAGCCAACACGCAGTTACCTGCAGGGTGTGGGGGTAAGGCAGAGGAGGGTTTGCCTACGCCCCATTGGTTGATCATTGATGATTTGCTGGGCGACAATACCAAAGAGGAAGAAGCCGAAGTCCTGCGATGGTTTACCAAGAAAAGCCATCATCGCAACACGACCGTGTTGTACTTGACGCAAAACCTCTTTGCTTCATCGCCTCATCATCGCACCATTAGTGTAAATGCCCACTACATGGTGCTGTTTAAAAACCCGAGGGACGCCTCGCAAATGGATCACTTGGCCAGACAAATCTTTCCAGGACAGACGGCCTTCCTTCGGGAAGCCTATGAGGATGCCACTTTGGCTCCTTATTCCTATTTGTTTCTGGACTTGAAACCGACCACGGCCAAAGAGCACCGTGTACGGTCCCATCTCTTTCGTAACCCCACCACCCTTTACATTCCCAAGTAGCGATAAATAGAGATGACCATCTACCCTACGGTCAGTTGACCCAGAGCTGCCATGGGAGACAGACGGAAAACAGACCCAGCCCCGCAAACGTGCTGTTGCCACAGGGTTGTTTAAACCGATCCATAAAACACTCCTTACCACCTTGGGTCGTGATCCCACCGAACAACATCAATCGGGTGTGCAACGGCTGTACGAAAGTCTAAGTGCTCCTCCTCCCTCTGCTTCCTCCTCCTCCAAACAAAGACGTTCCTTAAAGCAGTTGTACCCCACAGCGCCCACCATGAACACGTTTGTCCCTGTCAGTACGCATCGTGCCTCTCCTGCCGCCTTCTCTCCCCCTTCTTCTTTTCTGTCCTCTCCCCCTTCATTCCCATCGTCTCCCCTCTCTCCCACCATGATTCAACCCTTTCAACCCTTGACCCAACCTCGTACCACCAGCACCAAACGCACTGGCAACAAACGCACGGGTGCTAAACGCCCCAGCCCGGGCACCCTACGCAAAGGAAGCCACAGAAGCATGCCCGCCCGCAGAAAAGTCAAACCCATCATCGTGAAGAAACGACTGCCTTCGGCAGAGAGCGTAGCTGTCAAAGGACGTCATCGGCTGTTGCAATGTTTTGTCATTGCCGTGAGAAATCTGCGAGCAGGACGTGTTCCTTTGAAGACGCAGCACAAGACCTGGCTGTTGAGGCACCAAGACGTGTTGACCAAGATTGCGAACTACCTATGGATGATCGCCTGAATTACCTGATGAAACGCAGTGGAAGTGGTACGTTGGCTGGTGTTTTGACCCGTATCTTGCTGAACTGGCAGTCCTACCTACAGGAAAAACAGCAGAAGCCCTCAGCACCTCGTCGCCACCTTGCCCCAAAGAAACCCCAGGGACGTCGCAAGTCACCCATCCGACAAGAGAACAAGAAGAAGAAGAAAAGGGTCACTTCACCCTCAGCCCCAGGTGCAACCTTGACCCGGATGGTGTTAAGAAGTCAAAAGAAGAAGAAGACGGCAGCAACATTACCCCCACTCCCTCCAGCGACATTACCATAAATAGAGCCTCCCACCCCCATTCTGGTCAGTTCAACGGTAGCAGCTGCAGGGACGACACCATCATGTCTGCACGTTTGAAGCGTCACAAAGAAGCGCTCTGTCATGTGTGTAGTCCTTCATGCATAACACCAGCCATGCGACAGGCTATTTTGAAACAGGCCCCATCGGAACTGATTCAAGCCATCTGTGAATGCGTGGTGAATTTGTATGGAGGCAACATTCCTATGACAGCACAGCAACGTCAACGTTTACAAAAGCATGGGTCACTGATGCATACGTTGATGAAAAAGAAGGTGTCTGTGTCCAAGAAGCGTCAACTATTACAGCAGAAAGGAAGGGGATTGGGTCTCTTGTCTGCCTTGGCATCGGTGGTGGGTCCCTTGGTGTCTGGTCTGTTGGGTAGATGATCCTCAAGGAAGATCATAAATAGAGGACGCATCCTAGATTGGGGTTAGTTGCATCTGCACCGTCCTATCACCAAGATGAAACATGCACGGAAGATGGTAATGGTCCCAGAAGAGGTATGGCAAAGTCTGCAAGAAGAAAAACGTCAACGGCATTTGCTCAAGTCCAACCTGTTGGAACAGAAACGCGTGCACACGCTTCACGATATGGATACCCTCGTCCGTGATGACACGGTTCCCTTTAGGGACCGATAGCAACAGTATAACACCTTGTTGCAACGCACCTTGGCGTTTCAAGACCAAGCCACGGCCAAACCTTTAGAGGCAGCTGGTACCCCCAGGACGGGCACTCCCAGGGTTGGAACCCCCAGGGATGGAACTCCTCACCGTAAGTACGGTTGACTTACTGAGTCACACTCGTGTTCCAGTGGCGTAGAGGTCGCATTCCTAAGAATGAGTCAACGAAGCACATGGTAGAGCAGTGGCTCATGTTTTTTTTGTTCTTTTGTTTCAGAACCTGATGTCGAAGCCATTCTGCATGAAGTCTTGCAAACAGTTCCCAAAACGCTACAAACCAAGGCCAAGCAGTTGATGGCCCGTATTCGTGCTCACCCCGACTTGGGTTGGAATGAGACGGGTCAATTCGTGGTGGAAGGGGAACCCATGCCTGGGACGCACATGGTGGATCTCATCAATGATCTAGTTCGACAACGTACCAAATCAGACCCTCCACGGGGTTGGAATATTCTGGGTCAGTATCTCGCTTCCAGCAACGTACCCCATGAACTGATGGGCAACCTTCTACGCTTGGTCCTGGATGATGAAAACCAAAGGGTCATCCACCCAGCCCCCTGACACCCCCGTGAAACGTCAACACCATCCACCCGCTGACTTGTTTTTGACACCACCCGCATCCAACCTTCCTCTGGAACCCAAGAAGAAGAAAGCTGCAGAGACCCCCTCCTCCCCTCTCAACCGGGTTTGTCAGTGGATTCACTTTTAATAAAAGGGAGCAGAGGGTGATGTCAACGACAGTGTCACCATGAGACGTCCAAAGAGAAACAACAACAGCAAAGCATCATCGTCTCTGTCTCCTGCATGGACACGATGGCTCCACCACACTTATTACGATACCAAACACCCTGCAGGCTATGGAGGATGGCTTGCCTTGTGGCAAGCAGCAGGACATCAAGCCAAAGCAGGACATCAAGCCAAAGCAGGACCCAGAAAGGGGGGACCCAAGAATGGGGGACCCAAGAAGGGAGGAAGCAAAACGGGGCCAAGGCCCACCCAACGCCAGGTTCGCCAATGGTTGAAAACCCAGGACACGTACACCTTGCACAAACCAGCCCGACACTCGTTTCACAGGGATCATTACTGTGTGGGTGGCGTGGATGAATTGTGGCAAGCCGATCTGAGCGATCTCCTTGCGTATCAGAAAGAGAACAAAGCTACCGATATTTGTTGTGTGTCATCGATGTTTTCTCCAAAATGGTTTGGGTGCAGCCCATGAAAGCCAAGACG